TATGGATTGGTCAGAACAATAGGACAATCCTGCTTTTAAGATGTATTACATTAATAAGTCATCACAATGCTAATGAAGAGAGTGATGCTAATGAATTTAAATTATTCTTTCCAAGTTCTTTTAAAGTAAACCATTCTCCGATTGAATGAAAAGTTTGTTACTACAAGGTGGAATTTTAGTGAAAATTATAATTATGTAAACAAAAACAAATCTATGATAGAAAGATTTCTGGGTGGATAATTTCTAGAACAAAAAGTATTGTCAACACCATGAACATTATTTGAAGAATTATTATAGAACTTCATGGTTGATAACACATCCTTTGAATGAGACTTATAAGTAGTGTTGATATATTTCAGGTAGTGAGAGCCTACTGAATATACAAATTAAATACTATGATTGTAAAGTACTGATACAATCATCACTAGGTGGTATTAATGGTATAGGAATGTAATTCATGAATACAAATGACCTAAAGATTTTAAGGTTGCTAGAAACCATATGATTCATGGAATCTAATTGGACAGGATATTATAGTAATACATGTATTAGTATTTTAGTAAAATCAGGTATTGAGAATGAAAATACTATACTATATATGTATCTGTAGGAATATGATAGTGATACACAGTTATTGTTATTTAGAAAGTTATCATCTTGATTTTGTTATCTACAAAGATACGACTGTACCATAGCAGGTAGATCTTTCTGATTGCTTTATTGTTTATTGGATCAACATTTGTAAATATTTTATTCATTTATTATTGTTATATATATGTATATATTATGTTCAAGTAATTATGATGTAACATGGATATGGATATCAATACATAGCTGAAACAGAGGGAGTTTTGAAGTAAAGTAAGCAGTATAAGGGATAGAAACTCGACCTTCTAAGAACTCTCTATAATAGAAAGTTGTGACTTCATCTTGTTCTATGCTCAATGAATGTGATACAAGTGATGTATGAATGGACAGGTTAGTTACATTGTGTTATGGTTTTAAGACAAACCATAAACAGAGGGAATGTAGAATATTGCATATTCCATGTTTCTATTGATTATATATGGATGTGTGGATTGACATAAGTAACAGATGGTATAAGTCACAAGGCTTTCTGTGTCCGAGATCTCTGGAATGTGGATGTGGGGGTTTTGTCCTTATATGGCTAGAGTTAAACGCTGATGTTAGTATAAGCACATCTATATAGTAACAGAGGGACACAAGGTCGCTCTCTGTCTTGGCTTGGCTCTTGGCTCTGTACAACGATGTAACTCTCCCCTCAGAAGTACAGCAATTACCATCTGCTGTTGAATGTCCATTATCCTGTAACATCCTTTATTATGTTTTATTCAGAGTGCGTATTAGTACTTTTCAATAATACAGACATATATTATTGTGGCGAGCATTTGGCCCAAGACTATATATACAAAAGACGTATATATATCAATCAACTGAAGATAAGAAGAAATTAAGAGGATTGTACATTAACACCGTTCCAAATTACATTTTACAGTTCTTCTCCCCAAGATTTCAAAGATGGCATATCATTAATCACATCATTCAGAGGAATAATGCATGTTTCTTTTTAGTAGACAAAATTAAATAAAGCTTTTCACTAAACAAGGGTTTAGTGAAAGTTGTTCCACCTTATGGCAAGGCAGTCCTGTGGGGGCACTTTATATCTCATGTATCCTCCATAAACAAAATGAAGCTCATCACAACTATAGCGGACACACTTGGCAGCACAACATAAATAGAATCCCACAGATGACATCTTTACGAGGTTAAACAACACAAATGCCCAGATTGAGGTTATCCATTTAGCTTTTGTACTATACTTTAAAAAAATAAAAGAGGACCTTAGTATCGAAAATGCACTTGTATTAACAGTTAGTTATATTTAAGCAAAAAATTACAACGTGTGCTGGCACTCAATTACATATAGGTGCCGGTATTTGAGGTTAACCCCAAAGACAACCTCCAAACAACAATCCTAAAAAATTATATAATGAATACCGCACTCAAATAGTAATAATTGATACTAGAAGTAATTACTGTGAAAAATTCACGATATTTATTCTAAATAAAGTTATATAGAGTATGAAAATAGAAATGTTCATTTCATCCTGAGTACACCAATTATATACATTGAATATATACAATATATACAGTATATACAGAATATTCCATATATAGGATAGAGTTCATCTAATGTGTATACACTTGGTGAAAATTCATTGAAAAAATGTTGAAAATACTGAAAAAATGAAAAATATGAAAAAATGAAACAGATAAGAAAATGAAAAAAATAAAAAATATAATGAAAATAATGAAAAAATCCCCAATCCAAAACAGAAAAAAGGAAAGGGGAAATAAAAAGAAAATAAGGGATGGAAAAAAGGAAAAAAGAAAAAATGAAAAAACAAGCCAAATAATCTGAAAGTCCTGGTAGTCCAATATAGTGCACTGTATATAGCTATATCTGGATAGATCTCACCAATTGTAGAAATCTTTTTCTTGGTGTACCAAATCAAAGTTGTAATCAGATGATGATCTAAACGAAGGTGAAGGTAATAATAGTTGAAACAAACGGACAGTCACTCCATCAGCTCCCAGTTGGTGTGTGGTCAGAAGCAGCTCCCAGTGGGTATGTGGTCTGAACGAACGGCAATGAACTAATGCAGGCAATCCAGTCTAGGGACGGGCTGCGCGCTCGGGACTTAACTGTCCCTTCGACGGCCCCTGTGTTCTGTCAAGCAAGGTAGAAAATTGTTTAAATACCTGTTTTTAGCAGCAAAACATAGCCGCATCCACTCCATAGTATTCGCCCACTTCCGCATTGTGACGTCAGCGAACGTTGCTGCGTCATGCGTTCTCTATACAACTTTATTAATCACTTAACATTGTGTAACACACAAACTTAGTAAAGATGCATGATAGAAAGATTGTTCACCCAATAGTATGATACATATAATTGAAGGGGAAACAATGAAGTGAATGCATATTTATACAAACGGTTGTGGTTACAGATGAACTGCCATAAGCTACATATAGTACACATTAAAGATTATTAATTTTTAAATATTAAATTACATGAATATTAAACAAACCCAAAATGAAAAATTATAAATGTCTAACATTTATTTTAAAGCTCACCTGTTAATGCTGATCAAGGAGAAAGATTGTAAGAAAAAAATCGATATGAACCAGTTGGACAACCAGCTGGATAAATAAAAAGAAAAAAGAAAAAAGAAAAAAGAAAAAGACACAACATTTGTCATTATTCCAGATAATAAAAAATGCATGAAACTAGAAAAATTATGAAATACTACTAAAAAAAGAGGAGAGATCCATATGTGCAACTCACCTGCCACGCAATACCCCATAGTGCCCGAGGGCCATACACGTGAGGGACCCTGTGTCACTAGCAGGTAGCGGACCCCAAGCTGAGTCAAAATGTCGGCAGGAAAGAACTACGGACCAACATTGGTCAAGAGGAACCACTGTAAGGAGCACAAAATCATAGAGCAGACAATCATAAATATACACTTATAAAAAATGTTTAAGGTCATAGTCCTCATTGAGTCCTAGTGGTGACAAAGTCTCCAGAGTACTTATCCATTTCGTCTCTCTCTGAAGTAAAAGCTTCTGTCTGTCTCCACCCCTGCGTAGTGGTGGGATTCTGTCTATGACTTGAAACCTCAATTGGTTTACATTATGGCCATGCAACTTAAAGTGCCTTGGTACTGGAGCTTCCACTTTATTATGTTGAAATGCTGCCCTAATGCTCCTTTTGTGTTCCCCTATCCGCTCTTTCACTGGCCGGATGGTCTCCCCCACATATAAAAGCCCACAGGGACACTTAAGGGCATACACGACAAAGTCCGAGTTGCACGTATAAAAATCCTTAACGAAAAAATTTTTTCCTGACCGAGGGTGAACAAAATATTCCCCCTTGATCACGCTATTACAGTGTGAGCAATTGAGACATGGAAAAGTACCTTTCTTGGGTTCTGAAAAGAATCTGGTTTGTTTTTTAAAACTGCCAATGTCTGACCTCACTACAACATCTCTCAGGTTCGAGGCTCTCTGATATGAAAAAAGCGGAGGATGCTGGAATATCGAAGGTAATTGGGCATCTCCCTGAAATAATTGCCAATGTTTCAATATGACTCGTCTTATATCCCTATTAAGTGGAGTATAAGGTGTCACTAATGTAAGCCTTTCTATTTTGTTTTTTGCTCCTGTACCTGAGAGAGTTTCCTGACGGGACAGGGTTTCAACTTTCTGTCGCTGATCATCTACTATATGTGTGGGATAGCCCCTCTCTAAGAATTTTTTAGCCATAAAGTCTAAACCTGTCATCACTTTGTCTTCCTGTGATACTATCCTCTTTACTCTTAACAGTTGGCTAAACGGTAAACCATTCTTGAGGTGAGTTGGGTGGAAACTAGCATACGTCAATAAGTTATTTCGGTCAGTAGGTTTTATATATAAGTCACTATGAAGACAATTCTGTACTCTCTGTACTTGTACATCTAGAAAAGGAACCGTAATCATGTCACAATACATAGTGAATTTAATATTGACATCTTGTGTATTCAATGACTCAAAAAAGTCCTGCAATTGGGCCCTCGTGCCGCTCCAACAGACAAACACATCATCAATATATCTTTTCCAAACTAAGCATTTAACGAATAAAGGATGCTGATAAATACAAGTTTCTTCGATTCGATTCATATAAATGTTTGCATATGTTGGAGCGACATTCGAGCCCATGGCTGTACCTTTAATTTGTTTGTAGTATCTGTCCCCAAATAGGAAATAATTTTCTGTTAGAATGAAAGTCAGTAATTCCCTAATGTATTTTCTAGTATCCCTTTGCTGGGTTAATCTAGGATCTTTATCCAGTGTCCACTCAACTGCCTCAATCCCTCTTTCGTGATCAATAGAAGTATATAAAGACTGAACGTCCATGGTCACCAGCCAGAAGTCACCTGGTGGAACCTGTATGTCTGCTAATAGTGTGAGGAACGTGGTAGTGTCCTTAAGGTAGGATTTCTGTAGCGAGACATATTTAATCAGAAATTTATCGAGTATCTCTGCCGGATGTTGAAATATAGACCCAGTTCCACTGACTATTGGTCTACCTGGGGGAAAGAGGGGATTCTTATGAATCTTTGGAAGTGTATAGAACACTGGGATTCTAGGATATTTAAGATTCATATATTTATATTCCCCATCAGAGATGATCCCTTTGGAAAGGGCCCATTTATTAAGCCTATCTAGTGTATGTTTCAAAGTATGGGTAGGATCCTGACCTATAGGCAAATAATTGGTATTATCTGTAAGTTGAGTCTCAATTTCCTTTATGTAATATGTGCGATCCATAATCACCAATGCTCCCCCCTTGTCTGCCGGTTTAATAATAATAGAAGTATCTCTCTTTAAATTGTTGATGTTAAGCCAGTCTTGTTTAGTAAAATTAACATTTTGTCTTTGACAGCTATGTGTACCCTGATGTTTCTTCCTGAGCTTATATACATCTTTCTTCACAAGATTAGTAAATAAATCTATCGATGCATTGACATTATGTGGTGTGAAGGTACTTTTAGGTTTCAAACCTGTATCTAAGGGAAGGACCGCATATAGGTCGGTGCCATTATGTCCCATATCTTCCACATCTCCTTCCTCACGTAGGGGTTCCTGTATAATCTGAGTATTACTGTCAATAGGTCCTGATGTCATACCGTCATTGTGTTGATCTGTTGAAAAAAATGCACGTAATTTAAGTTGGCGAAAAAAACTTATACAAACTGACATCATATTGATGCCACTCTACATGAGGTGTGGGAATAAAGGAGAGTCCCTTATTTAGGGTCCCCTCCTCCGTAGGGGTTAGGGGCCTACCTGAAATGTTATGTATCAGAGATTGCGTCTCGATTGGGGCGGACGGCCCTGTTTTCTCTCCCGTGTGCCTCTTGTGATAACCCCCCCTCCTGATGTTTCTTCGTGTCGTGTGCCTCTCTCTAAAAAAGTCATTCCTGAGGATGAGGAGGCTGAGGAGGAAGATGTAATACCCTCTGTATCCGAGCGCCATCTCTGTGCGTTTGTATCTCTGTTTATTTTAGTCAGTTGAAGTGTACTAAGGAATATGGATTGGTCAGAACAATAGGACAATCCTGCTTTTAAGATGTATTACATTAATAAGTCATCACAATGCTAATGAAGAGAGTGATGCTAATGAATTTAAAGTATTCTTCCCAAGTTCTTTTAAAGTAAACCATTCTCCGATTGAAAGAAAAGTTTGTTACTACAAGGTGGAATTTTAGTGAAAATTATAATTATGTAAACAAAAACAAATCTATGATAGAAAGATTTCTGGGTGGATAATTTCTAGAACAAAAAGTATTGTCAACACCATGAACATTATTTGAAGAATTATTATAGAACTTCATGGTTGATAACACATCCTTTGAATGAGACTTATAAGTAGTGTTGATATATTTCAGGTAGTGAGAGCCTACTGAATATACAAATTAAATACTATGATTGTAAAGTACTGATACAATCATCACTAGGTGGTATTAATGGTATAGGAATGTAATTCATGAATACAAATGACCTAAAGATTTTAAGGTTGCTAGAAACCATATGATTCATGGAATCTAATTGGACAGGATATTATAGTAATACATGTATTAGTATTTTAGTAAAATCAGGTATTGAGAATGAAAATACTATACTATATATGTATCTGTAGGAATATGATAGTGATACACAGTTATTGTTATTTAGAAAGTTATCATCTTGATTTTGTTATCTACAAAGATACGACTGTAGCATAGCAGGTAGATCTTTCTGATTGCTTTATTGTTTATTGGATCAACATTTGTAAATATTTTATTCATTTATTATTGTTATATATATGTATATATTATGTTCAAGTAATTATGATGTAACATGGATATGGATATCAATACATAGCTGAAACAGAGGGAGTTTTGAAGTAAAGTAAGCAGTATAAGGGATAGAAACTCGACCTTCTAAGAACTCTCTATAATAGAAAGTTGTGACTTCATCTTGTTCTATGCTCAATGAATGTGATACAAGTGATGTATGAATGGACAGGTTAGTTACATTGTGTTATGGTTTTAAGACAAACCATAAACAGAGGGAATGTAGAATATTGCATATTCCATGTTTCTATTGATTATATATGGATGTGTGGATTGACATAAGTAACAGATGGTATAAGTCACAAGGCTTTCTGTGTCCGAGATCTCTGGAATGTGGATGTGGGGGTTTTGTCCTTATATGGCTAGAGTTAAACGCTGATGTTAGTATAAGCACATCTATATAGTAACAGAGGGACACAAGGTCGCTCTCTGTCTTGGCTTGGCTCTTGGCTCTGTACAACGATGTAACTCTCCCCTCAGAAGTACAGCAATTACCATCTGCTGTTGAATGTCCATTATCCTGTAACATCCTTTATTATGTTTTATTCAGAGTGCGTATTAGTACTTTTCAATAATACAGACATATATTATTGTGGCGAGCATTTGGCCCAAGACTATATATACAAAAGACGTATATATATCAATCAACTGAAGATAAGAAGAAATTAAGAGGATTGTACATTAACACCGTTCCAAATTACATTTTACAGTTCTTCTCCCCAAGATTTCAAAGATGGCATATCATTAATCACATCATTCAGAGGAATAATGCATGTTTCTTTTTAGTAGACAAAATTAAATAAAGCTTTTCACTAAACAAGGGTTTAGTGAAAGTTGTTCCACCTTATGGCAAGGCAGTCCTGTGGGGGCACTTTATATCTCATGTATCCTCCATAAACAAAATGAAGCTCATCACAACTATAGCGGACACACTTGGCAGCACAACATAAATAGAATCCCACAGATGACATCTTTACGAGGTTAAACAACACAAATGCCCAGATTGAGGTTATCCATTTAGCTTTTGTACTATACTTTAAAAAAATAAAAGAGGACCTTAGTATCGAAAATGCACTTGTATTGACAGTTAGTTATATTTAAGCCTTTACAATTTGTAACCAGAGAGTCTTGAGTTTTTTTTTTTTATATAACTTCAAATAAACCGGGGGAAAAGAATCTTGAGTTTAAGACGGTCAGCAGAATATCATCAGCAAATAGTCCAATCTCATACTCTGTCACTCCACATGGTCTACCAGCATGTTCCCGAATTGCTTGAGCTAGTGAATTTATATTCACTGCAAAGAGAGAGAGTGATTACAATGTCTAAGGTGCTGATTGTACCTCCATAACTGTTATTTTAGCTGTCGGACAACAGTATAGATTATGAACTACTGATGTAGACCTTCTAGGAATTCCAAGGTGATTCAGAACTTTTCAAAGAAATAACTAGTCCATTCTGCCAAATGCCTTTTCAACATCAAGGCCAAGGAGCATCATCTTTGTTTTAAGGGCATTCGGTTTTGAGGGCATCTATGAGGTCAAGTACTATTCTAATTGCATCAAGAGCAACAATGTTTATGATAAAGGTCACTTGATCTGCATGAATAATATTTGGATCCAGTGAATTTAATTTGTAATCTAAGATCCTTACAAAGAAGTTTATGTGCACATTAATTAAAGATATAGAGTGGTAATCGGAGCACAAAGTGTGGTATTTGCCATCTCTAGAGATGACTGAGATATTTGCCTCTAGATATTCTTCTGGTATTACTTCACAATAGGTTACAAAACTGGGGGCTAAGATACTACTAAAGTTTTAATAGAAAGTATTTGTGAAACTATTGGGTTCAGGAGCCTTTACATTTATTAGTCCATTAATTACATCTATGACTGTGGGGATATTTATGGGATAATAATAGTAACAGTGAGAATTGCCCACTAATTTAATTCTCAGATCCCAAAGAACGTTTATCGTGTTAAGTGGAATGTATTTCATATAAATAATATCACAATGTATAAAAATAGATTTTTATTTATAATGACAAATTAATAATAATATTATGCAACATGCATGACAATAATCAATGAATATTCAGTATAAAATGATATGCAATACAAAGGAATGGGTATTACGTTTCAATGGCTAAACGGCATTATCTGTCAAGACTTCTACGATTTATGACTAGCTTTCACAGACTGAAAGTGAAACTTTTCACAGGGAAGAACAGAATTCCTCAGAGTGCAGCGTAAGGTCGTAAAGTTTAGCAGACAGTTAGAATAACCCTTTCAATGCTGGCTAGATCTCCTAGGTAGTTAAGATCTATTCTTATGTCATTTTTAAATAAAATAACATTTAACCCAGTTCATTAGTCATTTCCTGAAAACCATCCAATAAGAGAATCTACCATATTATATAAGCAAATTTTAATTTTAATTTGTCTAAAAGATATCTTATCTTAATTTAGAGCAAATCAATACACCTGGATAAAAACAACGGTATGCTACCACGTGATAATATCACATTAATATATAATTATTCTTAATTCCACCTGCAGAATGGAATGTTTATAACTATATATCATTAGTTAACTAAGATTTCTTAATATGGAAATCTGACCGTGCTTTATCAAGTCATATATAATGCTATTAATACATTTTAATTAATTTAATTTAATTAAATGAAACCAGTATAATTACCAGTTGAGTAGATATTTCATCCGATTGGTAGTCTCAGGAACTTATTTGGATGTCTCTCTGCATGGAGGTTGGAGTCCCCAAACTTCCAATTCCTCTCTCCTCTCCTTTGCATCTCTTGCATCCCCCCCCCCCTCTTCTCGTATGTCTCTATCTTTTAAAGGGCCAGACTCTCTGTACGTCATCAGTTGATAACCCAATAGAAGCACTAGAGGTGTGGTTATCTTCCAAATCGCAATTTAGTTATTTGGTCTATAGAGGGCAGTCTTGTCCCACTAAACATACCTATCCAGGAAAGAGTTAACTTTTCCTGGTGGCTATTTTGACGTCATTTTGGCCTATCTAGATAGTGGCTATAACTTACGTATCCTTCAAAGATCAAAGGGTTTCTTAAATTTTGTCCAGACTATGTGTCTGGCAAATCTGCTATAATTTCTGATATGGCAGATCATGAACTAAGTTTACCCTTTTCCATACAATGGTACCTTATATATATATAGACAGTTAAATATTATTATTTAATCTTCTCTGTCACAATTGTCTGGGTTTAGATTTGATTATATTCCATTAGCATTAGACAGTCTGTCCAACCCCCTTCCTTATCACTTGGCTTGTATATACTATGCATTCCTCAGCTCTAGGAAAGTGGTTAGCTTACAGATAGAAATCTAGTGTCTTTTTGTTAACTTGAAATAACAAAATGGAGTCTGGTCTGTTCAGAGTGACTCAGAATATACACTTTTAGTTTCTATCATAGCACAAGATGTCTGCCGATATAAATACTCTGACATAACCCCCCTTTAGTGCATTTCATAGCCAAAATAATTTAGCTTATGAATAAGCACTATAGAAGTTACCAGACATATTGTGCAATCACATCATTTCTAACATAGGCCCGTGCATGGAATGAACATTTTTGTATACATTTGTACCTGTAAAAGTTTTGAACTTTACACTTAGTACAATCAACCATAATATCATTATTAACATAGTACATTATTTTCATTTGAAAAATGTCTTTGAGAGTTACATATGGTATGGCCAATAAAAAGCAAATCTCCATACGTTCCGGATTAATTTAGAGAGGTATAGCGCTCCCCATCTCAAAGGCCAGATTTAATTGCATAGGCTCAATTGTCTCTCCATCCACATTGGCAAGCATCGCATGAACAATATCCTTGGATACAAAATACAGAGGTATGCGTCCCCCTGCCAATTCGATCATTCCAGTTTGCACTTCGTCGAGAAAAGCAAGTGTGTGGAACAATATTGGTTCATGCAGAAATAGAAGTTCACGCTTAAATAAGTCATGACTTTGGTGCAACTCAGTGGATTTGGCAATTAACTCCGAATGCAAATTTGTCGTAACAACTGTGTCTTCCACATTAGTTAACACGCCTTGGAGAAGTGTTCTTTGCTATTGTATCACCTGATGAATATCGCTAATGTGTTGCTTTAGCGCATAGATTTCCATATCCAGCTTTTGGACAGTAATACATTCCAGTTGCGACAACTGCACCGACAGTGGCACAAACTAATGCAACAATTATAGCGGTGAGGAACCTTTTAGGTTGGTTGCTCATCGGAATAGAACTGGATACAAATGGTTTCCGGGCTTGCTCCAAGATGTTTCGCACACGGTCCTGTGCTCTTTGGAGGTGCATCTGGTACCAAGTCTGTAACTCAGGAAGCTGCATCGATGAAATGTTGTATGCCTCCTCGATGGAAATCTTGGGGTCCAAGCTGACGAACACACGTCGGGTCAGGATCCTCTTCTCTGTTAAGATGAACCCTGGTGTCTCTTGAATCAGGATGCCGGAGGATGGTCCCATCTCTGCGATCGGGTCGGTCCATAGCTCTTGGCACAGGAGCAGTACGATCCAGAAACACGCCACATCCTTCTTGGACATCTTTCGACAGTCACGGATCAGGAATCTACTAATGATTCAAGGTTTGTTAAGCATACAAACTTATAACAGTGTGAAACCACTTGGCCTAGGACAACACCTTATTACGATTCATCAACATATGTATTCTGTCTAATTCTATTTTTATAACTTCATCCCTCACTACATTTATTACTGACTCTTCATTAATTTGCCTATAGCAGCTAAACAAGCTAGTAACCTGCTTAAAAAATGTAGTTATTTGATGGCAAGGAAATGGTTAATGACATGAACGTACATGAGATCATGGCACATCACAACATTTCACATCATACTATACCACGTGAATCAAGCATTCATCCAGATTAGTCGTTCACCCTTCTGCATCCGAATCCACACCTATAATCCTTAATTGAGATTTAGGATGACAAGCACGCAACTGGTTAATGTGAACCCACTTTTCAATAAAATCACCATCCTTAGGAATTTTTATCTTATACGCTACTGGGGAAATTTTGTCAATAATGACATATGGCCCTTTCCAAGAAGGTAAAAATGTATTTTCCTTGACTTGATTTCGCGCAAAGTTATACAGATAGACTTGATCTGTGATTTCATATTCCTTTTTCGTGGTTTTTAAATCGTAATAGGTCTTAACCCCTGTCGCTGCTTTTTCTAGATTCTTTTGGGCAAAAGCAAACGCATGCTGTAAATGCTTGCGCAAATCTTCAATATACTGATGCGTTGTGGCAGCATTGATCAAGTTATGATCCGAAGTACGATATAGTAAATGCTGTGGTAAAACCATCTTTCTTCCTGTCATCAATTCAAAAGGTGACAATTTGGTAGCAGTGCTAGGTGTAGCTCTAATCGCCATTAAAACTAGGGGAAATTTAATGTCCCAGTCTTTACCAGACTCCTTAACATACTTCTTCAGAATATTAATGATAGACTGGTTATATCGCTCTACCCCCCCGCTAGACGCAGCGCGGTATGCAATATGTAGCTTTTGTTTAACACCTAGAATGTTCCACATCTTAGCCATTACTTCACTGGTAAAATGACTACCTCTGTCTGACTCAATTCTTTGAGGCAGACCGAACCTGGAAAAGACATGGTTAATCAACAAAGTGGCGCACACGGTACTCGTGTTCTCTTTCAAGGCAAACATTCTATCCACTTTGTGTACATACATGTAACGGTTAACATGTATTTTTTACCTCTTGAAGATCTTGTTACAGGACCTATAAAGTCAATTTGAATATCAGACCAGGGTAATGACACCCCCCTCTTCTGAAGTGGTGCACGATGGGTTGGACCATGGGGTTGATATTGCGGACAAATCAAGCATCCCTGACAGTATGTCTTAACATCCCTTAACATGTGTGGCCAATATGCATAATCACGCAATATCTCATATGTGATCTTATCACCACGATGCCTAGATGTAGGTGCATCATGTGCGTGTTGGAGCATTAACCCTCTGTATACAGTTGGGACTACCCATTGTTGTATACCATGTTTAGAAGTTCTGACCAGTAACCCATCCATGATACTAAATTGGACTTTATATCTCATCAAGATTCGTAAATCTTCATTAATTTTGCAATCCTCATCTGTGATGGGATTGGCAGTAGGGTCTTCTATATGTCTATAGAATATGCCTATGACGGGATCGTTCTTTTGACTAGTAATCAGGTCCTCACTAGGAGCTTCTTGACTCCATTGCACAACATTTAAGTCGGCATTATCTCTAGCCTGTCGTCTAGTTATGGCTTCAACATGAATTGAACCCATAAGATCATCAATGTTTAGGGTTTCACCATTGATGGCAGCTTGTTTTGCCAGTGAATCAGCTAAATCATTACCATCCTTGTCAATACCTTCTATTTTAGAATGGCCTTTGGTTTTCTTCCAATATATGGATAAACCATTTTCCTTAACCAACTCATCGATTTTACAAAACAATTTCCCATGTTTAACAGGTTTGTTATTGCTTTTCAGCATTTGGTTACGTTTCCAGCTAGGCAGATATTCGACGAAACTGTTGCGAACATAGTTGGAATCAGTTATAATAACAAATTTTTTGATACCATATTCTATTGCCATTTGAATGGTCTTATATACTGCACAGAGTTCATCTATCTGACTGCTTTTGGGACCAATATTGTATCCTATAGATACATTAGGATAATCACCTGTCCAGGCGATTCCGATACCTGCAACTAACTTCTGTTCAGCACCAGCAACGTGGTGATATGAACAACCATCAATGTATACCCACGGTAGTGGTCGACAGTATTCCTCGTCATAAACTTTATAAGGGGATAGCAATTGCTCTTCTAGGAAGTCATCTCTGGTGTCATTATCATCCAGAGATGGAGCAGTACAGTCATGTAATTCTGCTAAACCTTGGGCAACTGTGCTTCTCTTATTATGTTTATAACGGACTTCTAACGGCCATCCCTGTAAGGATAGAGTCCATGCAGTAATCCGACTGTTAGAGAGATTACCGTCTCTAATTCTTTCACTCTGCAGATACTGTAGAGGTTGGTGAGTTGTTTCTACAATTATTTTCTCACCTTGGATATAGCTACGAAAATTTTGTAGTGCCCAGACAGTCGACAATAACGCCTTCTCACACGTGTTGAATTTAATTTCAACAGGTGACAAAGTCTTGCTAGCATATGCAATAACTTTGTTTAAACTGTCCTGCTTCTGATACAGAACAGCACTTATGCTTAAATCGGTATATCCTGTCTCCAGATAGAAGGGTTTACCCCCCTCTGGGTATGCTAAACAGGGTGCCTGAGTGAGCTTCCTCCTCAGTTCACTTACCGCTTGGTCCTGAGGCTCCCCCCAGTTCCAGGTAGTTTCCTTTTAAGCAGGTGTAAGAGTGGTTTAGTTATTTCTGCATAGTTATCTATAAACTTACGGGAGTAGTTAGTCATACCAAGGAACGATCTTAATTCCCCGATGTTTGAAGGTGTTTTAGCCTTTAGTACGGCTTCAACCTTCTTCCTCTGGGGATTTAATCCTTCAGAAGTTACCTCATGTCCGAGGAAATTGACATGGGTGCGACACCATTGTGCCTTTTGTAAAGACAGTTTAATCCCTGCCTCTCTTAACTGAGTGAGAACATGTCCAATCTCTAAGATATGCTTATCAAAGGAAGTGCTTTTCAGCAAGACATCGTCGACATATGATAACGTTCCTCTCTCGAGTGCGTCAGGCATAGCTTTATGCATGAACACAGCGAATTCATGACCAGAGTTTATATAACCGAAAGGCATACGGGTCCAGGTATACTGCTGCTTTTCAATTTGTATTGGTCTTCATCATGGACTGGTACAGTCCAATATCCCTGCGCACAGTCAATGGCAGTGAATATTTTGGATCCCTGCATTTGTACCAAACATTGGTCTATGTATGGCATTGGCCAACCAGACATATAGACGCGTTTATTTAGCTGTCGTAAGTCAGCGCATAAACGCCATTGTCCATTAGGTTTCAGAATCCCCAAGATCGGATTATTATATGAACTGTGCACTGGACGTATAATACCCCTTTCCTTTAAGTTCTGAATGATGTCTTGTAGACCATCATATGACGCTAATGGGAGTCTATATTGTTTGATAAATACAGGTGGTAAATTTGGATCAGTTTGTATTCTGGCTACGTGGAGGTTAGTTAACCCACAGTCGTAGGAATCTTTGGCAAAAATATCTTGGAATTCCATAAGGATTGCCTTTAGCTGTTGTCGCTCAGCATCGTTGGAGCAACCGTCAGCTAAAGATATTTGCTCTTCTAGCCTTTCCTGAAATCCTGGAAAGATTTCAGGCTGGCCTATCTCATAGCTTCTTCAAGCCTAGAAGTTAGGTCAGTTCGGTGTTGACTTACCTTTTCTCTTTGGTCGTGATACTCTTGTGATTCCTGCTCATTGAGCGGATGATCGAAGGTGATAGATGCTTCTTCGATTTTACACGAGCCTTCTTCAACATTGAAGGGATACACAGATAGGATAGTGAATAATCCTTCTGGGGAGGAATGGAATATTTGATCGACAATTTCGCCCTCAGTTAAGTATTCTTCAGGGATGAGGCCTATAATTTGGTTTTGGAAACCAAATGTATAGTACTCAGCATCCAATGCTAGACCTAATAATGTTCCTTTTGGTAAAGTAACACTATTGGGTGTAACATTGTTGACCATGATAGAGGTGGGATTCTTACCAATACTTACCATAGGTGTATGTGTTACCACCAATCCTAATTGTTGTATCCTGTTGGATAAACAGATTAGGGCATCAGAGTTTTCTAATCTCTGACCCTCCTTGACCTGTAGGGGTAAAAGAAAGTTACTTGTCCCCTGTGGAATGGTTATGTCATCAGGAACTTGGATACTTACCGCATATGGGAGTATTTGTCCTGATTTCAGGGTGTTTTCCTTGTGTAGGTATCCACAAGGATTACCTTTTAACCTTGTCCACAAGTTGGAATTAATCAGGTCAAGGTGTATGGCAAAGCGATGTATGACATCATTGCCAACGTAAACCTGATAGCGAGGTTCGTCTATCACTAAGAATAAATGTTTAACTGTTTTATTTCCGATGGAAATAGATAGTAAACATTTTGCTATCACATTGTGACTCTCTGATTCGCCATCCAGGTTCTGGATCCACCTGTCATGTGGGGAAGCGTACCTGATCATTTTAGGATTAGCGATCTGCTTTAACAGACTTCTGCTAATATAGCTGTTCTCACTCTGTAAGTGCAGCTTTGCATTCCTACTTCTTCCTAAGTCATGTATTTGCATAGGAAAGAATAAATTGTTATTAACCCTTTCAATTCTGGCAAGGAATTGAACATGACCTGCCAGATCTACAGATTCAACATAGTCCCTGTGGAGAGAAATGGTTAAAACATCACCTTCCAGAGAGACATTCTGGATCCTCTCTGGAGCAATTCTTACAGAATGCTCATCTACAGGTGCGATTGCATCATTCACCTGCAGGATAGTCACGT